TATTCAACATCCATAAAGAAAAGAACTTTCAACCTAGAATTTCATTTCCAGCCAAACTAAGCTTTATAAGTGAAGGAGAAAGAAAATCCTTAATGGACAAGCAATTGCTGAGAGATTTTGTCACCACCAGGCCTGCCTTACAAGAGCTCCTGAAAGAAGCACTAAACAAGGAAAGGAACAACCAGTACCAGCCACTCCAAAAACATACTAATGGTAAAGACCATTGACACAATGAAAAAAATGCATCAACTAATGGGCAAAACATCCAGCTAGCATCCAAATAGCAGGATCAAATTCACAAATAACAATAGTAATCTTAGATATAAATGGGCTAAATGCCCCAATCAAAAGACACAGCCTGGCAAATTGGATAAAAAGTCAAAACCCATCAGTGTGCTGTACTCAGGAAACCCATCTCACGTGCTAGGACACACATAGGCTCAAAATAAAGTGGGGGAGGAAGATTTATCAAGCAAATGGAGAGCAAAATAAGCAGGAGTTGCAATCTGAGTCTCTTATAAAATGGACTTTAAACCAACAAAGTTCAAAAGAGACAAGGAAGGGCATTACATAATGGTAAAAGGATCAATGCATCAAGAAAATGATCCTTACTATATACACACGCAATACAGGAGCACCCAGGTACATAATGCAAATTACTAACGACCTACAAAGAGACTTAGACTCCCACACAATAATAGTGGGAAACTTTAACACTCCACTGTCAATGTTGGACAGATCGACGAGACAGAAAATTAACAAGGATATCCAGGACTTGAACTCAGATCTGGACCAAGTGGACCTAATATCTACAGAAATCTTCACCTCAAATCCACAGAATATACATTCTTCTCTGCACTGCATGGCACCTACTCTAAAATTGACCACATAATTGGAAGTAAATCACTCCTCGGCAAATGTAAAAGAATGGAAATCATAACAAATAGTCTCTCAGACCACAGGGCAATCAAATTAGAACTCAGAATTAAGAAACTAACTCAGAACCACACAGCTTCATGGAAACTGAACAACTGGCTCCTGAATGTCGACTGGATAAACAATGAAATGAAGGCAGAAATAAAGATGTTCTTTGAAACCAACAAGAATGAAGATACAACGTACCAGAATCTCTGGGACACATTTAAAGCAGTGTCTAGAGGGAAATTTATAGCAATAAATGCCCACATCAGAAGCAAGGAAAGATCTAAAATTGACACCCTATCATCAAAATTGAAAGAGCTAGAGGAACAAGATCAAAAAAACTCAAAAGCTAGCAGAAGACAAGAAATAGCTAAGATCAGAGCAGAACTGAAGGAGATAGAGACACAAAAAACCCTTCAAAAAATCAAAAATCCAGGAGCTGGTTTTTGGAGAAGATCAACAAAATAGACCTCTAGCAAGATTAATAAAAAAGAAAAGAGAGAATAACCAAATTGATGCAATAAAAAACGATAAAGGGGATATCACCACAGATTCCACAGAAATTCAAACCATCATCAGAGATTATTACAAACAACTCTATGCACACAAACTAATAAACCTGGAAGAAATGGATAAATTCCTGGACACTTGCACCCTCCCAAACCTAAAACAGGCAGAATTTGAAACCTTGAATAGACCAAAAACAAGGGCTGAAGTTGAGGCAGCAATTCATAGCCTGCCAAGCAAGAAAAGTCCAGATCCAGACCGGTTCACAGCTGAATGCTACCAGACATACAAAGAGGAGCTGGTTCCATTCCTTCTGAAACGATTCCAAAACAAGACAAAAAGAGGGAATCCTTCCTAAATCATTTTTTTTTTTTTGAGATGGAGTTTCACTCTTGTTCCCCAGGTTGGAGTACAATGGCACGATCTTGGCTCACTGCAACCTCCGCCTCCTGGGTTCAAGCAATTCTCCTGCCTTAGCCTCCCGAGTAGCTGGGACTACAGGCGTATGCCACCATGCCTAGCTAATTTTTTTTATTTTTTAGTAGAGACAGGGTTTCACCATATTGACCAGGATGGTCTCGATTTCTTGACCTGGTGACCCACCCCCCTCGGCTACCCAAAGTGCTGGGAGTATAGGGTGAGCCACTGCGCCACGTGCCCCAAATCATTTTATGAGACCAACATCATCCTGATACCAAAACCCAGCAGAGACTCCACAAAAAAAGAAAACCTCAGGCCAATATCCATGATGAACATAGATGCAAAAATCTTCAATAAACTACTGGAAAACCAATTGCAACAGCACATCAAAAAGCTTATACATCATGATCAAGTAAGCTTCATTCCAGGAAAGCAAGGCTGGTTCAACATATGCAAATCTATAAACATAATCCACCACATAAACAGAACCAAGACAAAAACCACATGATTATCTCAATAGATGCAGAGAAGGCCTTCAACAAAATTCAACAGCCCTTTATGCTAAAAACTCTCAATAAACTAGGTATCAAAGGAAGCTCAAAACAATAAAAGCTATTTACAACAAACCTACAGCCAATATCATACTGAATTGACAAAAACTGGAAGCATTCCCTGTGAAATCCGGCACTAGACAAGGATGCCCTGTCTCACCCCTCCTATTCAATATAGTATTGGAAGTTCTAGCCAGAGCAATTAGGCAAGAAAAAAAAAATTAGGTGTATTCAATTAGGAAAGGAGGAAGTCAAGTTGTCTCTATTTGCAGATGACATGATTGTATATTTAGAAGACCCTATCATCTCAGTCTAAAATCTCCTTAAACTGATAAGCAACTTCAGCAAAGTCTCAGGATACAAAATCAACGTGCAGAAATCACAAGCATTTCTATACACCAATAACAGCCTAACAGAAAGCCAAATCATGAGCAAGCTCCCATTCAAAATTGCTACAAAGAGAATAAAATACCTAGGAATACAACTAACAAAGGATGTGAAGGACCTCTTCAAGGAGAACTACAAACCACTGCTCAAGGAAATAAGAGAAAACATAAACAGATGGAAAAACATTCTATGCTCATGATTAGGAAGAATCAATATCGTGAAAATGGCCATACTGCCCAAAGTAATTTATGAATTCAATGCTATCCCCATCAAGCTACTGAGGACCTTCTTCACAGAACTGGAAAAAAACCACCTTAAACTTCGTATGGAACCAAAAGAGGGCCTGCATACTTAAGACAATCCTAAGCAAAAAGAATAAAGCTGGAGGCATCATGCTACCAGGTTTCAAGCTATACTACAAGGCTACAGTAATCAAAACAGCATGGTACCAGTACCAAACAGAGATATAGACCAATGGAACAGAACAGAGGCTGTGGAGGCAACACCACACATCTACAACCATATGATCTTTGACAAATCTGACAAATACAAGCAATGGAGAAAGGATTCCCTGTTTAATAAATAGTGTTGGGAAAACTGGCTAGCAGTGTGTGGAAAGCAGAAACTGGACCCCTTTCTGACACTTTACATGAAAATTAACTCCAGATGGATTAAAGACTTAAACATAAGACCTAACACCATAAAAGCCCTAGAAGAAAACAGGCAAAACCATTCAGGACATAGGCATAGGCCAGGACTTTATGACTAAAACACCAAAAGCATGGGCAACAAAAGCCAAAATAGACAAATGGGACCTAATTAAACTCCAGAGCTTCTGTACAGCAAAAGAAACAATCATTAGAGTGAACTGGCAACCAACAGAATGGGAAAAATTTTTTGCAATCTACACATCTGACAAAGGGCTAACATCCAGAATCTACAAAGAACTAAAACTGATTTACAAGAAAAAAACAAATCCATCCAAAAGTGGGCAAAAGATATGAACAGCCACTTTTCAAAAGAAGACTTACATGAGGCCAACAAACATATGAAAAAAATGCTCATCATCACTGATTATTAGAGAAATGCAAATCAAAACTATACTGAGGTACCACCTCATGCCAGTTAGAATGGCAATCATTAAAAAATCTGGAGACAACAGATGCTGGAGAGGACATGGAGAAATAGGAATACTTTTACACTGTTGGTGGGAGTGTAAATTAGTTCAACCATTGTGGAAGACAGTGTGGCGCTTCCTCAAGGACCTAGAAATAGAAATTCCATTTGACTCAGCAATCCCATTACTGGGTATATACCCAAAAGATTATAAATCATTCTATTAAAAAGACACATGCACACGTATGTTCATACCAGTACTGTTTACAATAGCAAAGACCTGGAACCAACCCAAATGTCCATCAATGATAGACTGGACAAGGAAAATGTGGCACATATACACCATGGAATATGATGCAGCCATAAAAAATGATGAAGTTGTGTCCTTTGTAGGGACATGGATGAATCTGGAAACCATCATTCTCAGCAAACTGACACAAGAACAGAAAATCAAACACCGCATGTTCTCACTCATAGGCGGGTGTTGGAACAATGAGAACACATGGACACTGGGAAGGGAGCATCATACACTGGGGTCTGTTGTCAGGGGCCAAGGGAGGGACATCGGAGGAGTAAGGAGGTCAGGGAGGCATAACATGGGGAGAAATGCCAGATGCAGGTGACAGGGGGATGGAGGCAGCAAATCACATTGCCATGTATGTACCTATGCAACAGTCCTGCATGATCTGCACATGTACCCCAGAACCTAAAGTACAATTAAAAAAAAGATTGTAGTGATATTGAAAAAAAAGAAAAGTAATCAATTTTGCTACCGTGTCTCTAATATGACCAGTCAAATATGGGCATTGAAACAAAAAAGTAAAAATAAAAAAAATAATAAAAATAAAAATATTGGCACAGGGATAGAAAAATAGGTCAAGAATTACAATGTGGAAACCTGAAGCAGACTTTCTTGTTAATCCATGACAATGACAGTTTACACTGTAATCAGTTGGAAGAAATCAATTAATTGGGGCTGGGATAACTGGCTATGCATACAGAAACATAAAATTAAATCCCTTTCTCAGACCATATAAATATAAATTTTATACAACTGCCAGTAAATTAGCTAATAAATTAGAATAGTAACATACTCACTGGATTGCCATACACTGTAAGCTCTCTGAGAGAAGGGATAACATCAAGTTTTTCCAGTTCTGTGATATCCTATTCAAAAGTTATTATTTGATTAGACTCAACATCTTCAAATATAGACTAATTTGAAGTAATTATATGTAAGTATTAGATTGAAGCTAGCTCATGATTGAATTCTCTGAAGCGAGTTTGAGTAACAGTATTCTGTATTCTTAAATAAAGGCAGATCTGTGTACTGTAGAATTCAAATACATGACTGGCAAAGATAACAGTCTAACATGGAAAACTGGCTATATAGCAGCACTTGTAAGAAAAGACCAAATTTTTTCTCAGAATTATGATTTATTCTAGGACTCAGACTATATTTGGTTAATTCCTCCAGTGTATTGACCAAGAAGTGTGGAAAAGGTGAATAGAATCTAAAAGTTTTAAAGGTACATAATTAATTAATTACACTACCTTAAAAAAAAAAAGGAATGTGTGATACTGAGCGAACTGCATCCTGATATACTTTCTGGGAGTATATAAAGCTGAAAAACAATTTCTCATGTTAAACAATTTGCCTTCCCTACTGCACAGCATTATTTATTAGCTTCCATTTAACATTGGTGAAGTTTGCAAATACATTTTAGTTTTTGCAAAATTATTTCTAAAATGCTATTTCTGACAAACTTTAGCCAACAAGCTCAGTCTAAGGTTGTTGCTAGTTCAGGTAACATAACAAAGTTATTGACATGATTATATTCCTTTGTGGAATTACAAGTGGACATATAGCAAATTCTTCTAGTAACTGTAAAAATATTTATCTATTTTAGATCATTTGGAAGTGTGTTTGATTTTTAAAATGACTGATCTTTACTACTTTGATTTTGGAAGTATCATAAAGGAGAGCTTTGAAAAATCTTTAAATTTATAGAAATATTGTGCATTTTTACCCACAGGCAGTTTCTATCTGTGGAATCAAAGCCTGATGGTAATCACAGACATTTGAAAAGTCTTACATTATTTTCTCAAATTAAACCGAATATAACAGTAGTCACTAGTGAAATATTCCTAATGTCTGTTTTTCACAGAAAATGTTAGTATGGGAAATAGACTATTAAATTTGTAGAAGATAATGATAGCATGAACTTTTAAAGAGACATCAAGGAAACTCATATGTCCATAATTGGGGGGAGAGGGCTGATGGCTTCCCATTTTTAATATACAGCATTTTTTTTTTACAGTAGTGTGCCACTACTGGCTCACAAAGAGTCAATTGGCAATTTTTAGGGATTTTGTGGGATGGCATGTTAGCTTGAAATTGGCTACGATAGAAGAAATTCTACTACAGAAATTGGTAAATGTCACTAATCAGGGATTTGTTTTTTGTTCTTAGAGAGCCAGTTGTTAAACATTAACCAGGATACCAATGGGTGTTACAGTGTCAGCATAAGCACTTAAGGCAGTCATATAATGGTCGTGCCTAGATTGGTGTCTTCATTGAGGACAAGAAATAGCAACAGACTATTCTTGGGGTAATTTTCAGTTTCAGGTGATTAGTTATATGTTTAAAAGTAGACACAGTAGCCGCATGCCAGGTAGGGGAATCATTTAGACACAGGGATCAAACGGGACTATAAAGGTGAATTAAATAACTAATCTTTCAATTGTGTTTCTGTGATTCTTCCTTTAGAAGCAAGACTATAGACAACAATCTGCTAAATCTACATTGTTGGACAGGATGGCTAAGTAAAAAGCATTGCACCAGAATCAAGGATATGTATTATATTTTGTCAAGGATATAGCTTCGAAGGATATTAAAGTAGGTCAGTGAGGGGCTGCATATACCTTCACTTGAAATATTGCTCCTTTGCTAATTTTTTTAGGCTTTCTCCTTTCCATCAATCTTTATCAATCCAAAGTTTGCAATCTGATTGCCCCTTTGTGGAAATTAATGCTGCTATCAGCCTGCCCATGTTGGTATAGACAGAATCTCTCTCAAAAATAAAATTTGAAGTGAGAGTTCAGAAGTTTGAAGACAATATGTTTTCAGTAGAATCTGACTTCATTTTTTCCCCAGCTAAATGCATGGTCACATTAAGGTACTATAATATTAATGATTAGAATAAGCTTAATGGCACAATTACCGAGCTAAATTCAATGGAAAATAACATTTTAAGGATAAAAATAAACAAAGAATGGTTGGGCATTAAATAATCAATAATGCTCATTCAATAATATGTAGAATCTCTCATATAAGTTGTCATTTATATATATTAGATTTTGATAATAAATAAGTTTGACTAAGTATAGCTGTTACACCAGCTGATCTCTAGCCATTCATTCACTTAAGAGGGATAGAGGGGTACACAGGTAGAGCAGGGACACTCCTGCGGAAAAGCAGGTGACCAGGTCTAATCTCCTTGTAAGCATGCTGGTAACTGGACATCCTGTCAAATAAAGCAATGATACTTGCTAGGAAGAAGGTCCTCATTTATGTTATTCTCTTAGCACATCTCCTTGGTTAAAGACTACCTATAATAAATAAACCTAGAATCTATAGAATTATAAGGCATGGATCCCTATAAAATGTCACATAATTTCAAGTTTAAAATGGAGATGTTTAATAAATGAAACACTCCCCTCTGCATTAGATCACCTCATGGAATCTCACTTGAAGATCTCATCTTTTATTCTAAGCTCAGTGGTGTGTGTGATGTGGGAAGGAAGGTCCTGAGAAGGCACTAAGCATGTCCTGGGCCCTGTGTGTCCCTGAAATTATTTGTAAAGTTTGATACTACATATCTGATGAGTGTTAAGTCTAATTTGACAATCTTTTCTGTTAGCTCAGTTGCTATCACTGGAAAGATTCTCCAGAGTAGGGCAATTTTCCTTGTTTAGATTTCTTCTGGGTAAAGCTTAGGAAGAATCATCTCCAGTTTTGGCAGGCTTTTTCCAGATGAATGTCTGAATCTGTATAAATTAGTTGTATACTATTTTTATCTGTACGTCATTCCCTAGTCACTATGTAGAAAGGGGCATGGCTCATGATTTCCTTCTAACTTTGTCCAGGGCTTTTAAAAAAATCAGCCTCAGAAAAGGCTTCCTGAACTCTATAGCAAATAGAACCACAAACAAATATTAATGGAGTATCTATTAAGTACCAAGTACTATGCTATATACCGATATAAATGTGGACAAGATAGAGTTGGTCACTGCCCTTAGCAGATAGTCCACAGTTCAGTTCGTCTTTGAGGCTATTTTAGAGGTATGGGAAGAAGTAGAAAAGTTGGTAAAAGAAGAGCTAACAGACCACTACAGAAATTCTGAGAGACATGTGAGAGCCGTATAAGGTTATGTCTTCAACTCTTATCTGTGCAGTGGCCTAAAAGTAACAGGTTAAATTCAGAGCAGGTAAAACTAAGGCAGGAATCTATCTAAGAAAGCCTTGAGTGGGGAAAGATATAATATTAAAGCCAAGTCAAAATCTATTATCAGGAGTTGATTCAAATGCCAGGTAGAACAAGTACATATGACAAGTTTAAAGAGCCAAAGGAAGTCTGGAATCGAGATTCAGAAACAACTTGGACCAAGAGCAGTCAAGGAACAAATGAGAGCTCTCAGAGAGGACTGATGAGGAAAGCTTAGAACATTTAGAACCTTTGTTAATGAGTTTGTGTATGTGGGTTTGTCCAGTTTTGTCTAGAAGCAGGGTGGACATTTCTGCATCACAGACTATTTCTATGCCTTGAAATATAGATGGTATATAAATGATAAACAACATACTAGCAGTATTTTCATTGGTGTGTTCAGAAGCTTTATATTCAGAAGTCAAAGATATTAAAGCTTGTAAATCCCATAATAAAAAGTAACAATGTTACCTGGATTTTATTGTATCCTAGGAAGAGTTTCTCTAGTTTTACCAAAGATTGTAATTTGCCCAGCTCTCGTAGTCTGTTTTCTTCCAAGTGAAGTGCCAACAAAGAACTCGGTTTGGCAAAAGCACTGTCATTAAATGCTCGGATACGGTTATGGTCCACTACCAATTCCTGAAGGACTACTAAGTTGTCAAGCCCTTCAACTTGACTGATTTCATTACCTAAAAAGAGATAAGTCATGATATATGAGGTGAGCCCAAACTTCCTGAATTAAAGGATATCTACTTTCATTTAAATAATTTTTAATCAGATGATTTTTCAAAAGCAGTAAGGGATTCAAGAAACTTATTTCCAAAGAGAAATTGAAATGTAATTCTCAGGAAGGTGGCATCATCATAAAATAATATTTGCTAAAATTTCTCATTTGTGTTTGAAAGATCAGGATGTGATATACACAGTGTACTTAATTTAATATCTGTTCAGTAATTAAGTATTAAAAGTTGGTATTGACAAAAGTAGATATATAAAAGTGCTGCAAAAGATATGCTTCCTGAATATATTGATTATTCAAATAGGTATAATAGTATAATTATTTCTTAAAATAAACTTATTTGTTATATTATGTTAGAAGAATACACATTAATTATGCTGTTCTTTCTCATATTTTGGTACTGTGACCATATTAAACACATTAGGGTTTAATTCTTTAAAACCCTAAACCCTTATTTATAAACTATGATTTCTCTCTATTGTAGCTATCAATAGCTATATAAATATTAATGATAACTTACATGAGGACTCTTCAATTTACAAAATGCTTTTATATTTACAGTATTTTCTATTAGAGCCTCAAAATACTGCAGAGGAAATATTAATATCTCTTTTTTCTAATCAGAAAATTGAGGGTCAGAGAAATTAAGTGGATTTCTCAAAGACATGAAAATGGCAATACCAGACCTACCTTAGACCTTTTACATTTTAAGCTCAATGCTCTTTCTAGTACGCCATACTACGTTTCATTCAATGTTCACTCTCCTTGATTATTACGGGCTGAATTGTGTCCCCTCAAATTCACATGTGAAAATCCTAACCTCTAAGTACCTCTAAATGTGACTGTATTTGGAGACAGAGTCTTTAAAAAGATAATTAAGGTTAAATGAGGTCATTGGGGTGAGCGTTAACTCAATATGACTAGTGTCCTTATAACAACTGGCATAAAGACAGACACATAGACCAATGGAACAGAATAGAGAACCCCGAAATAAATCCACACATATACAGTCAACGAATTTTTAACAAAGGTGCTAAGAACATACATTGGGGAAAAAACAGTCTCTTCAATAAATGGTGCTGGGAAAACTGGATATCCATATGCAGAAGAAATGAAACTTGAGACCTATCTCTCATCATATACAAAAGTCAAATCAAAATGGATTAGAAACTTAAATCTAAAACCTCAAACTATGAAACTTCCAGAAGAAAGCATTAGGGAAACTTTCTAGGACATTGGACTTGACAAAGATTTCTTGTGTAATACCTCAAAAACACAGGCAACCAAAGCAAAAATGGACAAATGGGATTGCATCAAGCTAAAAAGCTCATGCACAGCAAAGGAAGCAACAAAGTGAAGAGATAGCTCACAGAATGGGAGAAAATATTTGTAAGCTACCCATCTAACAAGGGATTAATAACCAGAATATATAAAAAGCCCAGACAACTCAGTAGGAAAAAGGTCTGCATAGACACTTCTCAAAAGAAGACAAATGACCAACAGGTATATGGAAAAATGCCCAACATTTCTAATCATAAGAGAAATACAAAGGAGATTTCATCCCACCCCAGTTAAAATGGCTTTTATCCAAAAGACAGACAATAATAAATGTTGGTGAAGATATAGAGAAAGAGGTAGAATGTCTTCGAAGCTCTTTTCAGCCTTTCATTCTCCTTTCTCTGTACTTACTTCCTAAGTAATCACATACATTTATGACTTCACCTGTCACTTCTATTGTGATCATTCTAAAATAATGTATTTTTAGTCCAGTATTATTGCTTGAAAGTTTCTGTTTTTAATGCATCAAAATTGTTACCACACAAACTGAGCTTTCTCTTCTCCCAAATGATCAACATTTCCCAATGACTTTAGCTTTAGTACCTCCTCTTGCTCAATCTCCTAATGAAATTATAAAAACATCTTGGACAATTTTTCTCCTTCTTTTATATCTAATTAGTCACTAAATCCTAACATTTCCTCCTTTTAAACTGCCTTTTGGACTCACCTCTTAACACTCACACTGACAGCATCTAGTCTATGCCCTTATTATGTCACTCAACCTGGGTAGAAACTGCATGTGCTTTGGAGGTAGATCTACGTTTGACTTTGTACCATAATACACACTGGTGCTAACCTGGCAAATTATTAAACCTCACTGAATGTCACTTTTTTTTGTAAAATATATATAACAATCCTTACCATGTAGGGTTGCTGTGAAGATTAAATATGACAATCTATGTAGACATAAATGGCAGGTGTTGTCAGAGTAAACTGCCTCACTTCCTGCATAAGGCTGCCCTACTCTAATTTGCCATGCTAGCCATAGCATCAGAACACACTCCTCCTTTACATTATTAGATTAAAATAGACCTTCCAAGGTTAGGTTGTCTGCTTTTTTGTATGTCAGTGTATCTTTTAAAAGATCTAGGCAGGAAGTGGTGGCTCATGCCTGTAAACCCACCACTTTGGGAAGCTGAGGTGAAATGATCTCTTAAGGCCAGGAGTTTGAGACTAGCCTGGGCATCAAATTGAGACCCCCATATCTACAGAAAAAATTAAAATTAAAATTAAAAAATTAGCCAGGCATGGTGGCACAAGCCTGTAGTCCCAACTACTCAGGAGGCTGAGGTGGGAGGATCACTTGAGCTCTGGAGGTTGAGGCTGCAGTAGTGAGCTATGATTGTGCCAATGCACTTCAGCCTGGGTGATAGAGACCCTTTCTCAAAAAATAAACACGAACCAATAAAACACAAAAACAAAAACCAATCTGTCACAGCCATAAAAAAGAATGGAATCATGGCCTCTGCAGCAACCTGGATGGAGCTGGAGGCCATTACCCTCAGTGAACTAACTCAGAAACAGAAAATTAAATTTTTCTATCTCCTACACTTAGGAGCTAAACAATAAATACACAGTAAGTACACACCAACAATAAGTACACTACAAAAAGGGAGAGAATGGGAGAAGGGGTGAGAGTTGAAAAATTACCTATTGGATACTATATTCATTATTTGGGTAATGGGTACACTAGCAGCTCAATTCACACCAGTACATAAACCATGTTAACAAACTTACACATATACCCCTTGAATCTAAAATAATTTTTTTTTTTTAAAAAAGATCTGACATTGTGCTGAATTTCTTGTTTTTAAGGCCAAGTCTCCAGATTCTTGATCCAAATCACAAGTGCTTTTGATATATAAAAAGATGCATTCAAATTTTTAAAAATATGGTCTAGAAAAGCCTGTCTTTTAGAAGTTACTATACTCAGATCAACTACCTCAGTACCTCTCCACATGTCTTACTGATGGATCTCCCTGCCTTTCTCCTATGCCATTAAAAATTATTGTTAGACTAAATGTCCCAAGCCCTGTATTTTCTCATGCTACTTTTCTAAAAGTCTCAAGCTCCTACCTATTATTGACTACATCCTGTACAAATTTCTCTGCTTGGCTTCCCATACTTTGGTCCAACTCTGTATTTTCATCCTCAAATTTTCACTATTCTACAAAATTTAAAAAACTGCCAATTGTTGATGGGAGTGTAAATTAGTTCAACCACGGGGAAGACAGTGTGGCAATTCCTCAAGGATCTAGAATCAGAAATATCATTTGACCCAGGAATCCCATTACTGGGTATATACCAAAAGGATTATAAATAATTCTACTATAAGGACACATGCACACATATGTTTATTGCAGCACTATTCACAATAGCAAAGACTTGGAACCAACCCAAATGCCCATTAATGTTAGACTGGATAAAGCACATGTGGCATATATACACCATGGAATACTATGTAGCCCTAAAAAAAATGAGTTCATGTTCTTTGCAGGGACATGGATGAAGCTGGAAACCATCATTCTCAACAAACTAACACAGGAACAGAAAATCAAACACCACATGTTCTCACTCATAAGTGGGAGCTGAAAAATGAGAACATATGGATATAGGGAGGGGAACATCAGACACCAGGGCCTGTCAGGGGTTGAGGGGGCAAGGGAAGGAATAGCATTAGGAGAAATACCTAATGCAGATGATGGGTTGATGGGTGCTGCAAACCACCATGGCACATGTATAGCTATGTAACAAACCTGCACATTCTGCACAAGTATCCCAGAACTTTAATAAAAAAATTACTATAATGAGGCTTATTTAAATTAAAATTAAATAAAATGAACACATATATTGAATTGAGCATTATTTATCAAGTTGATAATGTTTAGAAGATTTACAACTCTCTTACAAAAGTGCATATTCATTGCTCTCATCAGGTTGGTCCCTTTTCAAGTTTTGGCCCACAGACACCACAGTCATGTCCTGCGACTTTTTTCCTTTTCCCCCTGCTTGCAAAGCTCTCAGTAATGCTCACCTTCAATCTATATACTATCACTCCTTTAAAGAGCTCTATGCATGTGGAGGAGTTAATCTTTTAATTTCTCTTTTATCTGAACTTCTATTGTACTTAAGTTAATAATACATAGTCTGAACTTAATTCATCTTTGTCTCAGTACATCTCCACAGATCTTAAACTACTTAGATCAAGGATTTCAATGATATACAATTATAATAATATACTACTTCCATGTCTTTCATAGTTCTTACCACAGTTCTGGGTTTAATAAATACTTGTGAATTACCCACTGGTTATTTTTTATTACTTTTTAATACAATATACAAGTAAATTATGATGTAATACTCTATATATTCTCTGAATACTGCATTGACCTTTAAAAATGGTTTCTAAAAATATGTAAGTAACCCAAGAAAACCCCATTTGTGATTACTAAAATATTTTTGTCTATGAATTTTTTTGAGTAAATGTTGATGCTTTTGTTTATTAAAACAGAATGATAATAAGTCAGCTTTTAAAAATAATGACTTAGACAATAACAGTATTTTTACTCACCCTGTAGAAAGAGGAATTTTAAATTTCTTAGTCTGTTAAGTTGTAGCTGGATCAAATTACAAATTCCATTGTAGCCCAAATGAAGAACTTCTAAACTGTGCATTATAGGAGGCAAATTTTCACTGCTCATTGTATCTCTGAAACACATAGGTAAGATTGAGGCCATAAACTTAACTTCAAACCACCTATATCATGAAAAGACAGTTCAGTATGTGTTTACTATAAACTGACATTAAGAAAAAATAAATTTACTAATATATCAGAATTAAGCTATAATACATAGTCTGTTTACATTTTAATTTATAATAATACTTTCTTATTCTTTAATAAAGAAGTACATAAGGTATTACAATGAAAAGCAATGGCAAATGCAATCAGGCAAGAAAAAATGCATTCAGATCGGAAAGGAATAAATAAAACTGTCTTTATTTTTGTATGACATGATCTTGTATTTAGAAAATCCTAAAGAATCCACCAAAAAAATACTTGAAGCAATAAAGGAATTCAGCAAGGTCATAGGATAAAATATTTATGTACAAAAATCAACTGAATTTTCTACCTACCAGTAATAAATAATCTGAAATGAATTAAGCAAAAACTCTTTTCATGAAGTATAGAAAAGCATAAAATACTTCAGCATAAATTTAATAAAAAATAAGTAGAAAATCTGTACATGGAAAACTACAAAACATTACTGAGAAAAATTAACAAAGAGCTAAATAGAGAAATATTCCATGTGTATGGATTAGAAGATTTCATATTGCCAAAATGGCAATTCTCCCAAACTGAGCAATAGATTAATTTAATACAATCTCTATCAAAAATCCAGAAGACATCCCCCCACTCAATGTGAATAACCATCCTATGATAAAATTTATAAAAAATGCAAAGAATCTAGAATATTCAAAATAATCTTTTAAAAGAACAAAGTTGGAGGGCTTAATTCACTGATTTTAAAATTTTTTATAAAACCACAGTAATCAAACCATTCTAGTACTGGCACAAAAGAACAGACATACAGATCAATGGAACAGAACTGAGTACAGAAATAAACTCTTATATTTATGGTCAACTGATTTTTAGCAAAGGTGCCAAAACAATTCAATAGAGGAAATGAGAGTGTCTAAAGAAATGGTGCTTGGACAATTGAATATCCACATACACAAATGGATTTAGACCTCACTCCTACCTCACAACATAGACAAACATTAATTCAAAATAGATCATAGGGCTAGATATAAGAGTGAAAACATAAAACCTTCTAAAGAAAACAGGAGAACATCTTCGTGACCTTAGGTTAGGGAAAGACTTATTATATATAACACTAAAATTGTAATCTGTAAGAGAAAAGTTGATAAATTAGATTTCATCAAAATTAAAATTTCTTCAAAGGCACCATTTAAGGAAATGAAAAGAGAAACCACAGATTGAGAAAAATATCTGTAAATCATTTATTTAATAAAGGGCTTACATCCAGTATGAAGACACTCAATAATAAAAAGCCAAGTAACCTAATTAAACAATTAGGATTTTTAGGTTTTAGATTTGAATAGAGATTTTACCAAAGAAGATATATGAATGATTAATAAGCATATGAAAAACTGCTCAACACTATTCATCATTAGGAAATGCAAGTTAAAACCACAATAAGATACCACTTCAAATGTACTAGAAAGGCTGTAACTGTAATAGATAGGCAAGCATTGGCAAAGATGTGCAGAAATTAGAATCTTCATACACTGCTGATGATAATGAAAAATGGTGCAACCACTTTGGAAAACAGTTTAGCAGTTTCTTAAATAGCCATATGTTAAGTTACCATATGACCCAACCATTCCACTCATAGGTATCTACCCAAAATAGACATAATAAAAATACGAGTGCATACAAATACTTGTACACAAATGTTTAAAACAGCAGTATTCAAACCAGCCAAAAGTAGAAACAATTCAAATGTCTGTAAACTGATGAATAAACATTATGTAACATATTGATACAGTGAAACAGCCAATATATTAAGCAATAAGAAGGAGTGCCACAATGAACCTTTAAAACACCATGCTAAGGGTAAGAAGCCAGAGGCAAAAGACCACCTAGTTTATGGTTCTATTTACATGCAATGTTTAGAAAATACAATCCTAGAAAATAGATGAGAGATTGTTTGGGACTATAGGTGGGAAAGGAAATTGACTGTAAATGGACATGAAGGATCTTCTTGGTGAGATGGAAAATGTTTTAAATTATATTGCAGTCATGATTATACAACTCTATAATTTTAGTAAAATCACTGAATTATACACTTAATATGAGTAAACGTGATACATAAACTGCCACTTCAATAAAACTATTAGAAAAATAAAATATGAATAGGATCCAAAAAATGTACAAAAATGAAATATTGATAGTAGCTTTAATCATAATAGCCTAAAATTGGGAACAACCAAAACGTTCATCAATGATAAATGCATAAACAACTTGTCATATAATACATATAAGGGAATACTATTCAGCAATAAAATGAAATAAATTACTGACACTTGCAACAAAATGAATGAATCTCAAAAGCATTATGCTAAGTAAAAGGAGCCAGACACAAAACCTATTAACTATATAATTCCAATTATGTGAAATTCTAGAAAAAGGCAAAATTATAGTGAGAGCAGGTTAGTGGTTGTTGCCAGGTGTCAGGGTGTCAGGGGAGGGATTACAAAGGAACTTTTTGGAATAGGAAATATTTTGTATTTTGATTGTGGTATGGGTTATATGATTGAATACATTTGTCAAAATTCATTAAACTTTACACTTAAATTGGTGAATTTTGTTGCATGGAAATTGTACTTCAATAGAGGTAATAAAAAGCACAAGGAATGTTCTTTATTGGGAAAAATGGAATGAAAATATTCTGATTTGGAGGTAAACATTATATGATACATGATATATATTAATGTATATCTATATGTTCTATCAAAAATGTGTAAGGAGGTGGAAGGTTTGTCCTCATTTTTTGCACAAAGTATCTATTCTATTGGTGCTGGGTCATTAAGTGACCAGATAAATAATTTAGAAATAAAAGTAAAAAAAATGC